ATACAACCTACGTCACTACCCATTGTGTCCAACAGTGGTAAACGTGATCGAGATCGGTTTCAGCAAAGCGTTCGACAAAAGGAATCATTAGGTCCTCCTAAAGCTGTGTGGTGTTGGTAGATATCTGCACCAGTGGATCAAGAACTTTCTCGTTGGAGGAAAGTGTAGGGTACAAGTCGATAGCCACCTGACCAGCCGGCTACTATGTAGTAAAAACAATTACCATGCAAAATTATTTAAGATTAGATAGTGAGATCGTAGTTGCAGGGGGAGGTCAAGAGAGATGGAGTGGGACAAAGAAACTAAACACGAACGCCACTGAGTTCGGCTCCTAGCCATATCAGTAAATGTATCCAGCCAAAAGTTGTCATGGTTTTTCGGACCCCAACCAGGGAGCCGGTACGTTCCAACCGAGGCCAGCTGGCCCCCTGCTCCCGGATCTCTTCCTACTCAGGTGATGCAGGACGAGCCATGGACGGTTAGTTTAGAGCCTCCGTCGGAGGCCGAGGTCCGAAACGCGATCACAGCCCTCAATCGATTTCCTGCCGCTAGACTCTCTCCCACCTGCACTATTTAAGCATGGAGGTGAGGTCCTCTGCAGGGCACTGACCTTATTCGAATGTATCTGGAAGGGAGTGTCCCGGCTAATTGGAGCGAATCGATTATAGTGGCAATATACAAGAAGGGCAGTCGCACAGACTGTTCTAACCACAGAGGTATTGACAAAATTATTGGCCTCGATTATCGTTCGTCGCCTCACTGCGGAACGGGAATCTCGGATTAGGGAAGAGCAGGCCGGTTTCGGCCCAAAGCGTGGCTGTATAGACCATATATTCACTTTGCGGCAAGTGCTAGAGCAGCGCCAAGCATACCGCAGACCGACAATAGCTGTGTTCCTCGATTCCAAAACTGCGTCCGATTCAGTCGACCGATCGATTCTGTTCGAATTACTTGCGCGAAAAGATGTTCCCCCGAAATATGTGAACATCCTTCTTGCTCTATGCTCGAACACTAGAGGCCGCGTCAGGGTCTACGGTGGCCTATCGGCTAGCGTTCCGACAACAAGTGACGTTCGTCAGGGTTGCACGATTTCCCCATTTGGTCCAATTCCGTCGCGGATTCTATCACGAGTGTTCACTTGGGGAATCTCACGATGTAGGTGTTGAAGTGCTGCCTGGTGAAGGGTTAGTTGATCTAGATTATGCGGACGATATCGTCTCGCTTTTCGACGACGTTGCGGCGGCCCAGCCAACCCTGAATAGCCTGTCTAGGGTGGTCCCATTATTTGATCTGTACTTCGCACCCTCAAAGTACAAGGTGCTGCTGCAAGACCACAAGGCACTTTGTGACTCTTGACTTTGCTAACAAAGAACTCGAGGTGGTTGAGTGATTCATTCACCTTGTCTGCTGCATCAGCAACCGTGGACACGTAGAAACTGAACTCAGTTCAGGTATTGCAAGTGCCAGAACTGCGTTTGTGAAGCTGCGCCATCTTTGGCGACAGAAGGGAGTTCTCTCCGTCTGAAAGTCCCTGTATACAAGGTCACAGTGAGGGCCGTTCTGCTCTATGGTAGTGAAACATGGCGCCTTCGTTCTGAAGATCTGAGGCGCTTTCAAGCCTTTGATCATCGTTGTCTGTGAAACATTACTGGTGTCAGGTGGCACCAGCGTGTCCGCAACGATGATGTGCGTAGACAAGTACTAGGTAGTGATGAACATGCTAGGTCCCTAGAACAACAGATAGCACTGTATAAGTTGTGTTGGCTCAGGCACGTGCTACGTATGCCTGGTCACCGCTTACCTAGGACGGCCATGTGTAGGGTGGCGCATAGCTCGAGGTGGACAGATGTTGACTTGGCAGCGAGGAATGAAGTTACTGAAGACCAAACTGGGTGCCGTTGGTTCGTCTCGTCTTCCGGGTTCGAGTCCTTGTGACCCGCCTTGTGCTTGGCTCGAGACTTTACAGGACATGGCTCGCAGTCGACACCAGTGGCGTGTCTGCTTCCGTCTCCTAATCGGATTGCCTGTTTAAAGTGTGTTTGGTGCTGAGTTATTTGTGGGGTAATGGCTAATTATGACGCGGAGCAGTGAAAGCCGCAAGGAAGCTGTCTCGGTTATGCCGCCTTTTCTTTGCACGATAGCCAGCTGTTTTGCGACGGAATGTTGTCTACACAAGGTGTAGGCGCCTTGACGTTGAATGTTTGCTTATGGCATTAAGGTCCCCCTTCTCTCCCTCTTCTTATTCTTTATTTCATAGGTGCTCATGGTTGTATGGCAGCGAAGCATCAGTTCAAATGGCGGATGTATTGCTGTTGATGATGAGGCCAGCTTCGAAGTGAGGGCTTTCATTCTTCTCGACCAAGTGATCGCTTCGCCACCCATCCTCTTCTTTCATTCACATCACCAACGCGCAAAGAACGCACGTCTCGGCAGTCGGTGGCCTGGCATGCGCAACACGTGGCCGAACCATCGGAGTGTGGTACATGAAATAACGGTGCTGAGCGATTCATTTCCTTTTCCTGTGCCGTAAACAAGGCGTGAAAAGTGCTCGTTTCTTACTCGGTGTTCCCACCACATATGCGCTAAATTTTGAAGGCACCGGTGGTCGAACATAACTACCCTCTTTATGTCCGTTGATCTAAGGGATCAGGTTTCACACCCGTACAGTAGGGTTGAATGTACCGCTGCATTGTACACTCAACCCTTCAGGGCGAGAGTGATTTCGCGCCGGCGCCATAAGTGGCGAAGGTTAGCAAAAGCGCCTCGAGGTTTTGCTATAGGGTTCGTGATCTCATCTTCAATCCTACGGGTGCTGATATAACTTCCCAGATAGTTGAAGTTTTGAACGACTTCTAACTAACCTCCACCAAGGGTCAGCGTAGGCGTTCCAGGCCAACCTTGGAAGAACGCTTTGCACTTCGAGTGAGTAAAGCAAAGCCTGAAGTGACGGATAGCGAGTGCTAATCTGTCCAGTGCCACTTGGCACGTGTGTGGGCTGTCACAGATTAGCGCAATATCATCAGCATACTCTAAGTAAAGAAGCCGTTCTCCTGGGAGCAGATCCACACCTAATTAGTGTCTTGTGAACGAGATTTCCATCATGTCGTCAATAGTGTACTTGAAGAGGAAAGGTAACAGCGGGCATCCTTGTCTCACACCGCCGAAGATATTAGAGGGCGACGACAGCTTACCATAAGCCATCACTCTGCCTGAGCTACGCGCGTATAATGCTCGGATAATGTTTACATATTTTCCAAGTACACCATTTCTGAGTAGACAGTCCCAAAGTGCATGTCTATCCACCAAATCGAATGCACCTTTGACATCGAGGGACACGACAGCGGTGGGACGCCAATATATATGACGGTGCTCCAAAAACTGACGCAAAGTGAAGATGTGGTCAATGCAGTCAGGACCTCTACGAAACCCGGCTTGCTCTTCACGAATATGGCTTTCACGGGTGCCAGTCAGTCTGTGAGGAATAACAGAGGCAATCAATTTGGAGGCGACGAAGATTAGACTGGTTCCTCTATGGCTGCCGCATCCCGATTGTGAGCCTCCCTTGAGAATTGGAACTATGACGGAGCGGCTCCAGTTTGTTGGGACACTTTTCTGCTCCCATAGTGTCACTAGTAACGTATGAATCATCCACAAGAGCAGGTCCCCCGAATTTGAAGAGAGCTGGAGGAAGATCATCTGGTCCCGCGGCTTTATCTACCTTCAACAGTATGGTTTCAGTTTTGACTTCTGAGCGAAAGGGTGGATCCAAAGGGAGCTGGCCTTCAACCATCGACCAATCTGGTATGGGTGGCTCTGAAGGTGCAAGCACCACCCAGCATAAATCAATGTATCTCTGAAGCACGCAAACCATCGCACCACGGTGGTGCTGTCATTAAGGCTGGGAATTACAGAAGGGAGGTGAGTAATGGGGGTCGAGATGGGAGTAGGTGAAACAAATGGAAAAGGTGCCAGCAGTAGTGTTTTCGTTTATCAGCCCTGAGGTATGCAGCAGATAAGGCGACTCTTGATAATCGGCGCGACGGCCGGTGGAGGACGAAGTTTATATTTGAAGAATAAGTCATGGTTGTATATGGGCTGAGATACCGCCAGGGCACCAAACAGGAGAAGAATTGGGGTCCACCTGTAAAACCGTTGGCTCAAAAGCCTGTCCGCAGGGGCGGCAATGATTTAGGTTTATAGAAATAGACGTCATGTCATTGCAAACCCCTAACCTGGATGATTAGGATACTGTTCGTCTGACATCTAAACATAGACCAACCTGGTAAGAGTAGCTCAAAAGGGGCCCGGATGCACCACACAGTATGGCTTAATGGGTCAAGGAGGTAAGCAAACGGTCGCACCACGTCAAGGTCCAGCCTCGATGCGACGGACAGTAGGCAACGGTGAACAGTTTCATACAGCTCGTTGTTTGACAAAATCTGAGCCATCGTGAAGAACAGTTAAGGAACCAACAGAGTCCTTTACGATCATGATTTAGGAAGCATGATTCAAGATGACAGAATAAAGAGAATGGAAGCAAGAAAGGTGTGACCTGGTTGCTAGTAGCTAACTATGCAAGCGGCGAGAGCGCCAACAGGACATCACAAATGTAGCAGGTTTGTGATGATATGGGTTCACCAAAGCGGCAACAAGGTCCAGGAAATGAGTTAGACGATCTTTATGCACTACTACACACTGCGGAACCGTATTGACCGTCGGACAGTGCTATAAGTGGTGGTGCTAGCACCCATGATTAAAACAGGGGTATGAGGCAGCACAATCCCGAGCGTGACGTGTTTACACTAATGTGCCGAGGAACCCAGCCAAAAGGAATTAAGAAACATTGATCTCATGGTCTGCACGATTAAACCAACTAGACCGAACAAAAAAATATGCGTCAGCGCATAAAGAAGGAATGAATCACTAAATCTGCATAATAAGGGCGCCCATAGTATTTGTTGTCAACAAATAAAATGCATCCATAGAAGCCGCTGACGTACCAACATCACACGAGGAAGGGAATGGAGCTATTAGTACAAACCTTAGGTCACCGTCAAGGCCGGAGACGTATAATATACACCATTAACTTTATTGTCATAAAATCCATGTGACTGTAAAAAAAACTGTTTCAGCAATCTATTTTTGTATTTAAATGCTCTGTAACGGTGGCCGACTTCTCTACAGCTCTAATGTTCGACCAATTCTTGTATACTGATTGCCAGCATCCTATCCTCTCACGAAAGGCAAATACGTACTTACGAAGTTCAGCCGCGGGGATAAAAATACGTCATGACGCTCTAGGACCTATCGTTCACATCGCCTTCAAATAATGAAATAGTTCTCATTAAATTCATTGAATTCATTGATCATTGGATCACTGGATCATTGGATGATAGAGAGCAGAAGGAAGTTCCTTTGTCAGCTCCGTCACTTCCCGATCGTTTCGGAGGTAGCCTCGGTCATTGCGGAACAAGGTCCCACAGAGAAGCACTGAAGCTGCATTGGAAACAGCTGGATCCCCGTAAACTAAAGTGAGAGTCCAATAAATGCTTGAAACGTTCCTCGGTCTCGACAACGACGATGGACTCCGGAAGGCGGTTCCAGTCATTCACAACGCGAGTGGATAAAGCCAGGCTGGATCGCACTCGATCACTCCTCGGTTTGAACAGTTTCAAACTGTGGCCTCTTGTTGAACTCTCTGTGTTGAGCAACTTGAAAATTCCCATTTAGAGTCAAAAGAACACGAGACCATAGGTGAACAATTGTTTTCGATGATTCTCTTCAGACCAGTACAATCATATTTAAGAGTAAAATAATGAACTGAAATCGACTCAGTGGGTCAAGTTAATATGCAAACGAATGCAAACGATAGCTTGCGAGCACGAAGATTTCACAGTTTCGTCCCACTGAGATATAAGCGAAACTTAATCCACTCTCACAGACCGACCAGTTTTAACCGCGGCGAAGAAGGAGTTTTTTTTTAAGAATACCTTTTAAAAGGGATGCCAAAAGTCTTTCAGCGGTAGTCAAGTCGACATTCCCAGCAGCCAGGTTAAAGTGCACATTTTCTACTGAACCACTTGTTTGTTCACGCAATAAGGATACACTGCCAATGCTGACCTCATCTATGGTTATTTATCAGTGGTCGAACGGCAAGGCACTTGTCCAAACGCGTGAAGGAGCACTGCCCGCGCTGGTTGCGTCAAGGAGGAACTGGGGCCATTAGCAGCGCCGTTTTGGCCCATATTGTCGACACGGGGCACCAAGTCGATCTAAAGCGTGCCTTCAGGATAATTTACAGGGTCCCCCATCATCAATCACGAGTTTCGCCTCGGCGCTCGCAACAGCTGAATCGATTTGCATTCGGTTGTTGCAACCTCTCCTCATTATCTGTTTTAACAGACCACGATGATTCATTTTTATCTTAATATGATGTTGTAAACACAAACATTCATGGTCTCGTGTTCTCTGTATAGATGAAAGAATTCCTGTAATTCCCTCCCCAACTCTCCTCTAAGAATACGTCGGGTGAAGATCAAATCTCCGCGATGACGACGGTAATCCAGGGAAAAGAGGTTCAGTTGTTTGAGTCAAAGAGAATAGGACAGGTCCCGCAACTAAGCAACAGATTTGGATCCACGCCGATGAACCTTTTCAATCATATCACATTCAAATTTCGTAAGAGGGTAGGCGGCAGGTAGCCCGTATTCCAAAAGCGGGCGTACATCTGATGTAAACAGGAGTCGGAAGATCTCCGGGGTCAGGAGAGAGAAAGCTCTGCGTATAGAGTGAAACATCCTGTAGGCCGCAGCGACCTTTTTCTTGGTATCTTCATTAGATTTGAGGTCAGACGAAAGTACCACTCCCAAATCCCTCTCCTGAGTGGCGTTTCTGAGAAAGGAACCACTAATATGGTAGATTCCAAATGGGACAGACGCACCAACTGGGAGAACTGAACACTTCTCATGATTCATTGGCAACTGCCACTTAATTGACCAAGCATGTAGCAGGTCAAGTGTCGATTGCAACCTGTCAGCAGCTTCCATACTGGATACCTCCATCCACAGCTTCAAGTCGTCGGCGTAGATAAGGCAATCCGCCTGGAGTGTTGACGGTAAGTCATTGATGAAGATGTTGAAAAGCACAGGGCCAAGGACCGAACCTTGTGGGACTCCACTAGTCATGAGAACAGGGGCGGAAAATGTATCGTTTACTTGCACCTGCATCGTGCGGTCGCGAAGGAAATCAGAGATCCAGGAGGGAAGATTCCCGACAATACCGATTCCTCGGAGTTTAAGCAAAAGTCGTTCGTGCGGAACCCTGTAGAAAGCTTTGCTGAAATCCACAAACACAATGTCCAAGCGTTTGCCGGAATCTAGCGATTTCGCCCATTTCTCCTTAGCAACTAGTAAGTTCGAGGTACATGAGCGTGCCCTTCGAAAACCATGCTGTGCGCAAGAGAAGAAATTCAGTTCCTCGAGGTAGAGATGAAGAGTCTGCTTTAAATAAATAAAAATAAATAAATAGTATATTCTCGAATTTCCGAGACACACCTGACCAGGCATGAGCAACGCTCCATAACTTTACATAATATCGACGTTAAGCAGATAGGACGATAGTTGGCTGGATCTTGCCTGTTCCCTCCTTTGTAAATGGGTTTTCCAATGCCCACTTTCCAAGCCGACGGGAGACGCCCAACTTCAAAAGAAAGACGGAAAACCTGACAGATAGGAGGGGCGATGTATTGCGCCACAATCCTAAGGAACAGGGGGTGCAAGCCAACCGGGCCGGGTGAGGAATGCGGATCTAAATCAAGGAGAAGTTTAACCACAGAATTGAAGTTAATGTCTACTTGATCCAACTCATAAGGAAAACTGGACAGAGTGTTGTCGCAGGCGGGTGTTTCTTTCGTGAAGACAGAGGCGTACTGCTGGGCCAAAAGACTAGCTTTATCAGCGTCTTCGTAAAGTAAATTTCGATGTTCAAAGGAACACAAGGTGGGGATGCCACTGCCAGCCCTGGCACTTCTTTTTAAATAAGAGAAAATCATTTTGGGTGTCGTTCTGGAATGTGCTGCTAATGATAGTTCATATTGCTGACCTTTCTGTCGCTTCAACGCGATACAAGCATTTCTGGTGGTCTTGTAGGAAGAGTAATCGAACTCTGTTAGAGATTGCCTAAAACGATCTTACAGTTTGCGTCCTCCGTTTATCAGAGATCTCAATTCACTGTCAATCCAAGGTGGACCCCTCTTGAAGCACTTTCTACGGGAGAAAGGAACGACCTGCTCAATGAGAGAAGTCATTTTGGAGAGCACAAGGTTCCACGCATCATCAAGGGGAATGGGATCAGGAATACTCCGGTCCATAGCGCTTGCGGCTGTTCTCAGACGGAGAGGATCCGCTTGCCAAACGTTCCGACGACAAGCACCTTGGCTATGGATCGTGAGGCGACGTGTCCATTGGAATGAAACGACACAATGATCACTTTTGCCAATGGGTTGAAGAACTGTTAGGTTCGTGACATCTGACTGAGCTGGGGATAGCACAAGGTCCAGAATGTTTGGCGTTTGATCGGCAACAATGCGGGTTGGCATGGTGACGTGTTGAAACAAATTACAATCGATAACAGTCTCAAGTAAGGTAACATCAAAAGAATCAGGTGGACGACCACAAAGAAGTAGGTCCCAGTCGATATTAGGGGCATTAAAATCCCCCACGATAAGACTGTCCTTTCCCGTGCAGTGCTTCCTGATCGAATCGAGCAAATGAACTCCGGATCCCGATGGCGCTCTGTAAACAACACCAATAGTGTAGGATCTGCATCCATCATGAATACGGCACCACAGGGCATCAAAATCACCATCGTCGCCACTAGTAGCTGCAACCAAATGGGCCTTGAGTTCGGCCTTCCAGTAAAGTATAACGCCGCCACGGGGCTTACCTCCAAGGCGGTCGGCTCGACAAGGACTGTATCCGGGGATAGAAACCTCTGAATCTATGATGTCTGCAAAAAGCCAAGTTTCGGTAAAGGCCATCAAGTCTAGGCGAGCATTTGACGCAAGCATCTGTACCTCATCAAGTTTATTTCTCAGACTGCGTACATTGGCAACAATTGCACGCAGTCCATTCTCGTGCTTTACTGTCCTGGGTTGAGGAGAATTGGCCTCCACCGGGTTCTCGGGGTTCTCCGGATTACGCGAAAATCCACAATGTGGAGGTCCGTCTCACCATTCGCTCGGCGGGACCGGAGCTCATCAACGGCTGTTTTCATCTTAATACGATCTTCCGGAGAAAGATCTCTCAGGACGTAAAAAGGCTCACCTTTCAAACGTGGGGTTCGTCGGAGGATGCGTCGGCATTCCTCTTCGCTTTGACATACGATCTTGAGTGGGCGTACCTTGGAAGGATCCTCTTGCTTCCTGCCCAGGCGGAAGGCAGAGATAATGTTTATACCTAATTCACCTTCATCGAATAAAATAGAAAGCATTCGTTCAAGGAACCCTTGGTCATCCAGCATCCCTTCTGCAGAGGTGTGCTTGGTGGATTCTGGGGCGTTCACAATGATAAGTCATCTTTCACGAGAGGGTGGTAGAGCGCGGCCAGAGATCTGAGGCTGTGGTGACGTACTGTCCTTGCTCAACGTTTCCAACTCGTTGACTTTGCTGAGAAGAGCTTTCATTTGGGTCTGGGAATCGGTTTTCTTGGTTTTGGACTTAGACTTTGCCTGACCCATTGGGACAGTGGGTGATCTCCTCACCACGGCAGCGTATGTCTCAGTCGTGGGCTCACTGGGCAAGGCGTGTGTCAAAAGATCTGATGAGGGAGCAGATGGGACACGGCTTCGTTTACCCGTGGGGGGTAGCTGAGCCCGAATTGGGTGCGGACGAAAAAGGTAATGAAACAAGTGAGTCCAACACAGTGGAAGCTTCGAAATTCGTTGGCGTAGAATGAGGGCTCAGGACTGGCAGTCCGGGGTGAAGGCGTCGACTGTTTAATGAAGTACGGCAGCTACGACAGGAAACAGTGATAGCCGATGTAG